CATAATAATTGAAGTCAGTGCTACATGCCGATAGTCATTGTAACTGGTTGATTGGGGCTTCTTTGGAATTGGAATTATTGTGGCGGACTTGAAACACGTGTGAACAACTGCTTGGTTCAGAGAGATGTTAAAGATGTCCGTGAGGACATCCTTGAGCTCCTCGGCACAGTCCTTTAAAACATGACCAGGTATGTTATCCGGTCCAGCTGTCTTGCATGGGTTGATCCTGGAGAGGGTCTTCTTCACGCTGGCTGCGGACAGACACACAGCCTGCTCGCCCGGGAAAGGAGTGGTCTTCTGTCTTTCAAAGCGGCCAAAGAAGTCATTGAGGCTGTTCAGCAGAGAGATGTCACTATCACATTTCTGAGGTGGGGGTTTATAGCCTGTGAGGGTTTGGATGCCCCGCCAGAGACTCTGTGCATCTCTAGTGTTGCTGAAGTTTCCAGATATTTTCTTGCTGTATTGGTGTTTTGCCTCCCTGATTCCACAGGGCAGGTTGGCTCTTGCTGTTGCTAGGCCTGCGGTGTCGTTGGCCCTAAAGGCTGCATCCCGAGCCCTCAGTTGTCTGTGAACCTCACCTGTCATCCATGGCTTCTGGTTGGCACGAGCACTGATATTTTTGCAGTAAGTGACATCATCAATGCACTTTGTGATGCATGCTATGATGGCCTCAGTATATTCCTCTATGCCTATGTGATTGTTATGAGTGGCTGCTTGTTTGAAAATGTCCCAGTCTGTAGTGTCAAAACAGTCCTTCAGAGCAGAGGAAGCTCCCTCCTGCCACACACGTACCTCCAATTGTGTTAGTCTGATGACTGGGTCTGTATACAGGTCTCAGCATGATGGTGATGTGATCAGAGAGACCCAGGTGGGGGAGAGGGGAGGTTTTGTATGCTCCCTTGCATGCGGTGTACACAAAGTCCAATGTGTTGTCTCCTCTTGTTGGAAAGTCCACATGTTGGTGCAGATTGGGCAACCTTTAAATCCGTGTGATTGAAGTCCCCAGCTGTGATGAGGAATCCGTCTGGGTGCGCTGTCTGTTGTTCACTGATGGCCTGGTAAAATTCATTTAGTGCCTCACTCCTGTTGCTGGTGTTAGCAGTGGTAGGAATATACGTAGCCGGCAGGTACAGTGATGTAAGAATCTGGTGAAGAAGCCCCAGGCCTCGAAGTTCCTCTGCAACTTCCTGGTCCAAGTTGAAATGTTTTGACTTGTATCCTGAAGGACTGTGGTTCTTGTTACCATTGCTAACTCTGAGAGACGAGGCAGTCCAAGTAACTTCAAAACAGTGCTGATTTATTCAAAGGATCACAGGTAAAATTAACATTACACGCTCAGGTATCTTGCACCTCCAAACTGTGCGCAGGCAGATGTAAGATGAAAGACCCTGAACC